CTTACTGAATTAGATGAAATTTTAACAGCTACTGATGAGAGGATGATTAAAAAGTTATATGGTTATTTACTTGGAGTGAAGTTAGAAGAAGAACAAGTCAAAGAAACAATGATTGCTTGGGGGGGAAATTTTTGGATATGGGATAGATATAGAAAAATGGCATAAATTATGGACTCAAAACTATAAATTAACAATGTCAACAGCATATAAAGAGAATTTGTATAAGATGTTCTACAGGTGGCATTTATCCCCAGCAAGAATAGCAAGGATGTTCAAGGACAAATCGGCAAAATGTTGGAAATGCCATCAGATACCTGGATCGTATTATCACATGTGGTGGACGTGTGTGGAAGCCAAAAGATACTGGACTAAAATTCATACATGGCTGGAGAAAAATGACAAAACAGCCTATAGACTTGAAACCCGAGATATTTTTATTGGGTATCTTACCTGAAGGATACAGTAGAGAATTGATATATTTGATTATTAATGTTTTAACAGCAGCTAGAATTGCATTTGCTCAAAATTGGAAAAATGAAAAAAAAATTCTGATAGAAGAGAAGGGATTAAGAAAATAATGGAATGTGCAGAAATGAGTAAATTGACATTGGCAATTAGAGAGCAAGAAGATAAAGAATATTCTGGACTTTGTGCTTCAGGTGGAAAAAAAATGAAACTCTGACTTTGGTTTTGCTGATTAGATGGGTTTGTTCTTATAGAAATGGCTATTATATATCATTAAATAAAAGTAAAAAGTTGACGCTGTATGTTATTATCTTGTTCTACTGCACTAAAAAAGAGAAGTCATTTCTTTCTTTTTTCCCTTTTACCCTACAATTTTTCCTCTTCCCTTTTGCCCTCCCTACCTTCTCACTATTTTAATTTTTCTTTGTATTTTATATTTTGATTTACTAATAAAATTTGAAACTCAACAGACCGGAAACCTTCCTCTTAGGAATTATCAAAGATAGATTACCGAAAGAAGTAAAATACCTATCACTACACATTACAACAGCCACCAGAATAGCCTTTGCGCAGGTATGGATAACCCCAAGTACTCCTAATGAAGAACTAATAATACATAAAGTAACAGAAAGTGCTGAGATAAATATGTTAACAATGAAATTGAAAGAAAAAGATGACTCTGAATTCTTCTTAATTTGGAACAATTGGTATAAATGGCTAACAAACAGAACTAAGAAGTGAGACAAAGAGTCTATCCAAAATAACCCTTAAGAAAGTAAAACAAAATTTTGAAAATTATATCAAGATATAAGAATAGTAATCATAATTAAAGCTATTATTTAATATTAGTCAAATGTAATATAATGTATTATGATATTTAAACCAAAAACCTGTATAGATGCCAAGAACGCTGTTGATACCATGATGCTTCAAGATGTAACTAAAGAAATTCAATATATATATATATAATATTTGAAACTCAAAATAACTTCCTTCTTATAAGTCTCCTAAATCTAGAAATGGAGACAAAAGAAAAAAAACACAGGAAAATTGCAATAGAAACACCATACTTAGAAGTATATTGCAAAAATATTTTATTTTATACAGATTTATTACACATTTTATTTTCCTAACTTTCTTGAAAACCATCCAGAGAGATTCACCATTCAAGTGGGTATTGTAAAAGCAAATAGAGATGTGTTATTTTAAAAATAGAGAAAGCAATTCTCATCTTTTGACACATTTATCAGTTTCTCATAGTTTACCAGGTCTCCTGTGGACCTTATTTAAAATTTGATTAGGAACAGAGGGGAAATGTGCTTGATTCACTTTGTCATTTGAATTTAGCTGCTTTTTCATTAGCAACAGCAATAATGAGAATTTAGCTAAAGACTGATACTGACTTTCTTCCGATTTTTTTAAAGCAATTCTGAAGCAAAATGAATGAATGAACAAAATGCTAATATTAATATTAAGAAATAAGTGTATAAAAATGAAGAAATGAAATAAATTTCAAGATGGAAGAATAATGAACTTAAAACAGATCAGGTGCACAATCTGGAGTCTTCCTGGACTGATGGCTCCTGTAATGAGAAGGTGGCAGTTGAGGCTAGTATGGTCTTTCCACAGTTTCAGCTTTGCATTGTGTCTCAGTTGTTCCTATTTCTAAATCAGAAGGCCCCACTTGGTTATTCATTCCCTGGACACTTCCGGGAAGGACTATTGTATCACATTTTATATGGGGTTGCCTTTGAAGATTATCCAGAAGCCCCAACTAGCGCAAATACATCACTATGGGCATTTCAAAGTTCCTCAGAACTGAATAAGCTTCTTGGATGAGAAGTGAAATGTTTTCCAAGATAAAAACCAAGAAAGTCCAGTTGCCTTTTGAAAAAGCACCTTTGGAACAACCCTGACCTGGATGATTGAGAATCTCCATAGACAATTGCATGGGCAATTATGTATGCCTCTGGTACAGCACATGGTACACTTCTATTCTGCCAGCTGCATTGGATGCTGATTTATTTCTTTATTTATTTTGTCAAGCATGTATGAGAAAACAAGTATAAGTATGTACATAACATATAAGTATAAACAGGTATAAGTATATACATAATAAATGAGTATGAATAAATGGGAACAGGGACAGTAGGCATGCGCCCTTACAGATCTCTTAGGAATGGAGCGAGGACCACGGTAGACAATTAAAGGTTAAAGTTTTGAGGGTCAGAGTCAGGTAGGGAGTTCCAGGCATTGACCACTCTGTTGCTGAAGTCGTATTTTCTGCAATTGATTTTGGAGCGGTTTACTTTGAGTTTGTATCTATTGTTTGCCAGTGTATTATTGCAGTTGAAGCTGAAGTAGTTGCTGACAGGTAGAACACTGTAGCAGGCAATTTTGTGTACTAAGCTTAGATCAGACTGTAGGCAGCGTAGTTCTAGGTTATCCAGGTCCAAAATTTTAAGCCTGGTAGCATAAGGCATTCTATTGCGAGCAGAGGAGTGGAGTACTTCTCTCGTGAAATACCTCTGGACTCGCTCAAATGTATTAATGTCCGTTATACAGTGTGGATTCCAGGCAGATGAGCTTATTCGAGATTTGGTCTGGTAAAGGTTTTGTATTTTGGTTTGCAGTTCAATGTTACTGGAGAAGAAGCTTTTCAAAATTAGGTTAACAACTCTTAATGCTTTCTTTGGCAATGCTGTTACATTTACTTGGTTATTTATTATTTATTTAAATTTATTAGATTTACTTCTGGGTTCAATTCCAAGAGCTACTTTTGATCTTTTAAGCTCTATGTGGCATGGGATCTGGCCAGTTGAAGGACCACCTCTGCTCAGTCACATCTATCTATCCCACCAGGTCCAGCCAGAAGGGCATGCCACAGGTCCTATCTATCTGCTTCTTGGACCCAGAAGGACAGCCTTTTCTGCCATGGCATCTGCCCATTGGGACATCATTTACTCCTGAGATCAGTCCTGGCCTTATTGACACTTAGGAAATCCCTGAAAACATGGGCTTGGGTTGAAGCAGGATTGGAAGATCCCAGAGAAATGGATATCACACGAAATGATTATTCTGTGTGTAGCATGCGGGTCTTATCTCCTATACTTTTATTCATGTGTGTTTATTTGATTTAACAAAATGAAATCCAATGTAGAGGAAAGTAAAATCTTACACTTAGGCAAGAAACATCAGAAGTACACATATAGACTCGGTGAAACCAGTAGCAGTAACTGATCTCAGAGTCTTAGTGGACAACCAGTTAAATATGAGCCAACAGTGTGAGGCAGCAGCCAAAAAAGCCAATTCAATCCTAAATTGCCTTAATAGAAGGACACAATCAAGATCAAGGGAGGTGCTAATACCACTCTATAAAGCCTTGGTAAGACCACACCTAGAATACTGCATCCAGTTTTGGTCACCGCACTATAAAAAAGATGTTGAGACTCTAGAAAAAGTACAGAGAAGAGCAACCAGGATGATTAGGGGACTGGAGACTAAATCATATGATGAATGGTTACAGGAACTGGGCATGGCTAGTCTAGTGAAGAGAAGGACCAAGGGAGACATGATAGCAGTATTCCAATGTTTGAGGGGCTGCCACAGAGAGGAAGGGGTCAAGCTATTTTCCAAGGCACCTGAAGCCAGACAAGGAATAATGAATGGAAACTGATCAAGGAGAGATTCAACCCAGAAGTAAGGAGAAATTTTCTGACAGTGAGAACAATCTTGCCTTTGGGAGCTTCATCACTTGAGTCTTTCAAGAAGAGATTGGACTACCATTTGCCAGAAATGGTGTACGGTCAACTGCTTGGGTGTGGGGGGGTTGGACTAGATGACTACAAGGTACCTTCCAACACTGATTTTAATCTGATTTTAACTGCAGTTTTAATTTTTTTAACTGGTTATTCATCACCCGCTTTCCAAAGGCATATTCATCAGATTAGCAACTAAATACTCCCTTTTTACGGCCGTAAATCGCTTAATTGGAAGTAGAGTCGGGGCAACTAGATGGAGGTGAGCATTTACTGGCCAAATGCTCTTCCTGACACCACGCAGAGTTCACAGCAGATATCTTTTCTTTGTGCCCTAGGAGAGAGAAACATTTCTACCATGCAGCTACCTAGGATTGAACTCTCAACCTTCCGAGTGGGAGGCGAGCATCTTTACTACTAGCCCACCATGCCTCTCAGATTAGCAGCTAAATAAACCTGATAGATAAATAAATAAAACAAAACTGTAGTCTAAAGAAGCTTGTGTGGGCTTCTCACCAGGATATTCTATGCCTCCTTCTGAATAATTGAATGTCCAATTTGATTCAACAAAGTATATCTCCAGACAGGTTTACTTTAGGGGATGTGAAGAGGAGAATAGTAACTGCATCCAGTGGCCCATTTAATAAAAAATATTGATTAGTCTTTTATTGATCTGCCTGTTGAATAAAAAGACCAAGAAGCAGCAGCCTTGTATTTGTAAAATGTTATGAAATTATTATTTGATTGCCAAATACCGCTTGGTCAATGATGTCAATTTTTCTCCTCAAGTTTTTTTTTCTTCTTCTTCCTTTCTTTTTTTTTCAGTTTGTACACTATTTTTCTGACAACCTCTCAAGGCAATAATAATGGCTTATCAGCTGAAGGAAAATGATAGGAAGGGGGATTGGGAAATAAACATTGGCAAAGAAATGGGGGTGGGAATCAAATTAACGTACCAACTCTTATTAAATAATAATTAAATAGCTCAAGAATGGGATTTGATAAGTCTTTTGGAGTCCGTTCTTTGTTTGAAGCCCAAGATTACCCATAATGCAGTTTATCCTGTGGGCTTCAATTGTAACCCTTTTAAAAAGCAATGAAGTTAACAGATGAGCAGCGTGCTGTGTGCAGCAAGCGAAGAACTTGTGGATGAATGTTATTGTAGCCGAATCTAAATAAATATTTTAACCTTGATCTATGCTTGCCTTTTAATGGCTGTGTTCCCATCTTTCCAATGTAGGAAGAAATGTCCATCTGGATTCAATTCCAAGTGAGGAGAAAGACACTGGAAACATGGAGACTGCTTGGAAGGATGGTTAATATATATTTATACCCTCTCTTGGGCCTTGTCTTTGAGCTTCCTGTTCCTGTGGCAAGGGCAGGTATCTTATTGGTTGTCAGACTCCTAGGGGGCTCTGAGGGGGTCCAGCTAACCTTGTAGGCTGTCTGTGTCCCAGACTTGGTTGACTATTGCTGGGTGATGATGTAATGAAGAGGCTTGTGTTCTGAAAGTGTGTTTGGGTGTTGGGCAATTCCTGTTATGACTTTGTCCTGTTTGGATCTTAAGTGAGGGCTAATCCTATCATCCTGGAGCTGAAGGCCTTTTGACTTGTAGGTAACATGCCCAGTCTTTCTGGGGCTATTAACAAAGGTGGGGACTGCTTTCCAAGAGCATGTCTCTCCTTTTCTCATCCAGGGAAATATAATATTCTGCCTTTTTAAATATTTCCTAAAACATTTCATTTTTCTAAGAGGGGGGTGGGTGCTAACTTTCTTCACCAAGGATCCCAGTTGATGACAGAAAATGAGGAACTTGATCAGAGGCATTTATACTTAAGATCAAGGGATAAAATTAAATAATAATGGGGGAAGTGTACAAAACATGAGATCATCCAGACTGAGGATTTCTTAATTTATTTATTTTTTTAAAAAGAGTTCTCTTTGGCATTTTATTATTTTATTCTATCTGTTATTTATGCTATGCTACGCTGAAAGGGACGCAGCGGCTCAGTGGCTTGTTGATCAGAAAGGTCGGCAGTTTGGCGGTTCGAATCCCTAATGTCACGTAACGGAGTGAGCTCCCGTCAACTTGTCCCAGCTTCTGCCAACCTAGCAGTTCGAAAGCATGTAAAAATGAAAGTAGAAAAATAGGGACCCCTTTGGTGGGAAGGTAACAGCGTTCCATGCAGCTTTGGCATTTAGTCATGCCGACTACATGACCATGGAGACGTCTTCGGACAGTGCTGCCTCTTTGGCTTTGTAACGGAGATGAGCACCGCCCCCTAGAACTGGAAATGACTAGCATGTATGCGCGAGGGGAACCTACACTATGCTATCTTTTCTCTATACACTCAAATCTAAATAAAATCAACCCTGACTGTTCTTTGGAAGGAGAGATGCTGAAGCTCAAATACTGCGGCCACCTAATGCAGGGGTCCCCAGCACCGATCCTTGGGTCAGCATTGTTTGAGGCATGCCAGCAACCAGGCCATGCAAAGGTGACGCCCCATCCACGGGATGCAGACAGCACACAAAACCATACACTGTCCAGTCTGTGGAAAAAACTCTCTCCACAGAACCCGTCCTTGGGGCCCAAAAGGTTGAAGGCTGCTAACCTAATGAGAAGAGAGGACTGTTTGGAGGAGACCCTGATGTTGGGAAAGATGGCAGGCAAAAGGCAAAGGAACAGCAAGAGGAGGAGATGGTTAGATAGTGATGGTAAAGGTTTGTTCTCCTGTTGTAATGACGAGGGAGTCGAGGTGTTTGATCATGATCAACTGAATCATGATGAACTTTATTGGAGTCTAGTCTTGCATTTATACACATTTTTAGTTATCCTCAATCATTGGTTAACTTTGGTTATTGCTTAACTTTCGTTACTGTTTAGCATAGTAATTAACGCAATTAATTATCTCTAGTTAAAGTCTAACATATGTTTACTTCCTCTCTCTAATCCTCCTTTAGATTAGTGACTTTGTTTACCTGAGTTGTATTTGCTTTGGAAACATTCTTTATCTGAGGTTTGCCATCCGAGATAGGAACATTCCTGCAATTACAACTCTACATTCTCCGAGCTTCCGGGTTGGTTTCCGGACATTTTGTTACCAGGCTAGGTAACATCACACACACCCCAGCAGTTCACCTCGTGACAACTCTTACTTGAGGTAATCTCCTTATCACAAGACCCATCACAAGACATGTCACAAGACCCTCTCTTAACACACCCACACCTGAAGCTCTTATAAACAGAACACTGACATCCCTAAACTCAGTGGCGGGCTGCTGCTGGTTCAAACTGGTTTGCCTGTACTGGTAGTTCTGACCACTGACTGGGCCCACCCACCCACCCAATGCTATCCTATCCTATATATATCACTCTCTCGCTTGCCTCGCCCACACAACTCAACTGATTTTCGCAGCCTCACCCACTCTACTCACTGTGGCTGCTACACTCATGAAATCGCTGCGTGTTTGCAGCTGCACGCAAGCACAGATGGTGCACATGCGCATGAAACGGGTGTGCGCATGCGCACTCACATTTTTCATTCTGCTCCAGGTGAACCAGTTGTGCAGCTCACTTCTGCCTAAACTACACTGAATGCCATTGAAGATGTTACCTAAAAATAATAATAATAAGTCTTTATTGATTAGCCCTTGGGCCATATCAAAGTACAAAGTTCCAGCAACAATTTGTTACTAAAATTTAATAAAAGCAATTCAAAATGAAATTTGATAAAATATTATTTAAAATGGAACTTGATTAAAATACGATTTAAAATGGAATCTAGACAAAATACGATTTAAGATGAAATAGTAATAAAATACAATCCAAAATAAAATTGTAATAATGTACAATAATTTAAGATATAGATAAAACATAATAACATTATATTTTGGAGTCGCCCTTGCAATCTACCCCAATCAATCCCACATATGCAGGTCTCAACCAAATCATTTTGTTTAAATACTATGCTACTTTAAATGTTATTTTCAAGTTCTGGCTGGACATAAGGTAAGTTATTTTGATATGGGTATCCCAAGGGGTCATTTGTCTGATATATAGACCAAGATACCTGAACCTAACAAAATATTTGGAAACCAACTCACAAGCTTGGAGACTGAACCTTCACCCTCATCCTACACCTGAACTACAGATATTTGCCACTATTGCAATGGTTAGATAGTGTCATCATTGCATCAATGAACATGAATTTGGGCAGAATCCCAGAGATAGTGGAGGACAGGAGGCCTGGCATGATGTGGTCCATGGGGTGATGGGAAGTTGAATGCAACTTAGTGACTGAACAACCACCACATCAGAGGTGGTATTCAGCAGGTTCTGACCAATTCTGGAGAACCAGTAGCGGAAATTTTGAGTAGTTCGGAGAACTGGCAAATACCATCTCTGACTGGCCCTACCCTCATCTATTCTCTGCCTTCTGAGTCCCGGCTGATTGGCTGGGTCTTCTTTTGTTGCCCTGCATAGGAGAACAGAGCTGGAAAGCAGGTTACTGGGGTGGGGATGGAATGGGATTTTGCAGTATCTTTCACCTGCCACGCCCACCAAGCCACGCCCACCTGATGGGTAGTAAAAAAAATTGAATCCCACCACTGAACCACACATTCTATCTTTTGGATAGGCCCACATTTTCTGCTTACATCCTCATCTGAAGATGATTCTTGGCATATCACGCTTGATTGAATGTGTTCCTGGGGGCAAACAGGATTGGCCAAGGGAGGGAAAGAAAATAAACCTGGGGAGGAAGGAACAAAATAGCAGCTAATCTCAACTAAGCTAACAGAAAGCGCCCCACTGACTCGCCTCTTCCTGAGAAGCACAGAAGGGGGAAAACAGACCTCATGGGTAGATAGTCTAGGTTACATTGAGCAGGATCATTGGTAGAATGGAAATCTGATGACATCCAGGCAGATGAGTCCTCATTTTAGCCCGTTTTCATCTGATGAAAGGTAGTTTGATCAAAGGGGATTAGAATGGACCCATTCAGTTTGGAGACCGATCATAGAGTAGAATGTTCCAGAGAATCTAGAACATTCCATTCTTCCTCTGGATGATGCCAAACTGAATGTTCCAGAATCTATCAAGGGTTTTTTCAAAAGTCAATCCTCTGAAAGAAAAATAGTTTGTGGAGTTTTAGATGGAGAGTGGGTTTTACACGTACTTGCAAATACCTCACACTCTTTACTTCTTGCTGGGTTCTCCACCAGTCTACATTTGTTTCTCCCGTTGCTGTCTGTCCAGTAATCACTAATCAGGAGCTTGTGGGGGGTACCTGACATACTGAAATATCTCTTGAAATTTCATTTTCACTGATGACTTTTCTTGCCTTGGATGGAAAATATTGATCCATCCAATCAATTCAAATACTGAATTACACATTAGCACTCCCATCTATCCCCATTTGTGAAATCCCTGGGGCAATTGCCCCCCCCTCTTTTTTTAAAAAAAAGACTATTGTACATCATGTCAGAATGGAATTATTTCCTGACCTTGCAGAAGAAACATTACGTGAAAAGATCATTAAATTCCAAGTTATAAAGAAGTCTGAGTTGGAGAAAAACAGAAATAGAATTTTTAATTCAAAGGAGGGGCACAAATCCAAGAAGGCAGGTGTTCCGAACTAAGCAAGCTCGTTGGCTTGCAATTCTAATAGTTTTCTTTCCACGACAGGTTTGTAAACCTGCACTTCTGATTGGCCCGCTGATAGCGGATCGTGATTGGTCGTTTTTGGCTGATCTGATTGGCTGACAGCGGGTCGCCGCTGATTGGACGCTCACAGCGCGGCAAACTCAAACCATTGGGTGTTGTGACAGCAGCCAGCTCTATAAAAGGAGCTGCTGCTGCCCAAGTATTTCGCTCTGTTCTGAAGTCACTAATAAAGAGTTGGAGTCACTATTTTGATGCCTCGTCTCCGTTCTTGCGCCCACGTTCCCAGACATAACAGCAGGAAAAAAGGATTAGACTGTTTTTCTTAGGGTGTGTTTGAGATTTGCTCCTCCAACTGTTGGAAGCTGGAGGAGGCATCGCAGAAAAGATGGCAACATTATTGAAAGAGACAGGCCTGGTTTGCTGGCAGATTTTTATGCGTTTGGGGTTTTTTTTAAGAGTGGGGAAATAAGAGGAGACTAACCACATGCATTTTGAGTTTTCAGACTCCCACCAAGACCAAACGGTGTGCTATTTTATCTGAGTGGATTAAAGGAACTGGGATGATGGAAACTGGAGGATTTATCCTTATTTATTTAATTAATTCCTACGGTTTCCCATCCCAAGCAAGTGGTTTTAGGTAGTGAAAAGTCCTAAAAGTTGGCCTTGCAGAAACTTGACTGTAATTTGAATTGCTTTTCCTTTTCAATCAAAACCAAACCGAACCAAATTGTTTCTGGAAAGCAAGAACTGGGTGGCCAGCCCATGAGAGAAGTCTTTATAAGAAGCCATTCTGAAGCTCTGCACAAGCAATTTTCAGGTTTTTTTGCCTTCATTTCGGCCAAGTATACCATCTGTGTTTATAACCAAATTATTCCAGTGTGGGCTCAGTCAGAATGATACATGTAATTGATCCAGGGGCATATTAATTATGGATGAATTGCCTTAAAATATTAATTTTGATTTTGGATTGTATGTGTGTGGTTCTTTGGATGTGTGTGGATCTCTATATGCATATGATGTATATGTAGATATATAGATATACAGAGAGAGGGGAGGGGGAAGAGATACTAGTAGGTAGATAGATGTGTGTGTGTGTGTGAGAGAGAGAGAGAGAGAGAGAGAGAAGGGAGGGAGGGAGGAAAGAAAGAAAGAAAGAAAGAAAGAAAGAAAGAAAGAAAGAAAGAAAGAAAGGAAGAAAGGAAGAAAGGAAGAAAGGAAGAAAAAAAGAAAAAGAAAGAAAGAATGAAAGAGTGGTGCTCCTCAGAGGAAGAGAGGAATGAGTGTGTGTATATTCATCCTCCTGCAGAATGGATTAGAAAATAAACCAATAAACTATCCATATAAATTTATGCTTTCCTTAATGAGTCCTACATACATCGCATCGACTTGAGCTGAGCTGCTTTCTTAAATGAACAAGCAGGCATGATTTCTTCAAAACTTCCTATGAGGTTGGATATTCAATCTGCATATTTGAAAGCTTATCAGTAGCTAAAAAAACGGGTGAGTGACTGAATCATTTCCTGTTCATAATCTGCTTTATGTTAGAACAGGCTAATTTTCTAGCCGTCCTGCACTGACATACAGTATGATGGCTCTACAGAGTTTCAGGCAATTATCTTTTCTGATCTTGCTTGAAAATGCCAAGAAATTGAACCTGGAAACTTCTGCATGGAAATCAATTTCAACACCTTTGACTCTTCATGGGGAGATGTCATGATATGCAATGCAGAATAGAGGGGAGAGGACCTTTAAAGAATTATAGAGACTGAAAGGAGGATTCTAGCCATTAAGCCCAACCTTCTGCTCAATGCAGGAATCCAACTTAAAGTTTCTCTACATATGGTTGTCCAGGTGTCATGTGAATCAAGAAGAGAATGGACCTAGAGCTAAGGAGAAATTTCCTGACAGTTAGAACAATTGATCAGTGGAATGGCTTGCTTCCAGTTATAGTGGGTGCTCCAACACTGGAGGTTTTTAAGAATAAACTGGACAACCATTTCAGTGGTGGGATTCAATTTTTTTTACTATCAGTTCTGTGGTGTGGCTTGGTGGGTTGGTTTGGTGGGTGTGGCAGGGGAAGGATACTGTAAAATCTCCATTCCCACTCCACTCCTGGGGGAAGGTTACTGCAAAATCCCATTCCCTCCCCACCCCAACTAACCTGCTTTCCAGCTCTGTTCTCCTGTGCAGGGCAACCAAAGAAGACCCAGCCAATCAGCTGGGACTCAGGAGACAGAGAATAGATGGGGGAGGAGCCAGTCAGAGGTGGTCTTTGCCAGTTCTCTGAACTACACAAAATTTCCGCTACCGGTTCTCCAGAACTGGTCAGAACCTGCTGAATACCACCTCTGAACCATTTGTCTGAAATTGTATAGGGTTTCCTAGTTGACCAGGGAATTGGACTAGAAGACCTTCAAGATCCCTTCCAACTCTGTTGTTCTGTTATTCCGAATGCATCGGCTGAATTGGTAAACTTACATCTTGATGGATGATCAGTTCCATTTTCAAACTGCCCTTCCAATAAGGATTCTTTTTTCCTTCCAAACATTCAATTAGAAGCTGCCTTCCTGTAATTTAAACCCATTCTTCCTTGTCCTGAACTCTGAGGATGAAGAATTGAACTTTTTTTTTTTACATACAATCTTTCTGGAAATATGAAAGCTCAGTCTGCTTTGGTCTTCTTTTTTGGGGCTTCACAATATTTGAAGAGTGCTGCCATATCACCTGCTTCCTTCTTCTTTCTCTCAAAGCATCCAAGAACATTCTGGAAGATGTTCTTGGAACATTCCTCGAACGATCAATCTTTTATCAATTTCTAATTTAGGTTCTAGTTGTCTCTAATCTTCCAGAAAGTAGAATAAAGATCTATCAATCTTCCCAGTTTGGATCACTCCGTACACTTCAGAGCACAATATTCACTTAATATTCACAATATTCAATATCCATACTCAATGATTGGTCGAGATCATGATTGTCACGTTCAAGGAAAATAAGATTTGTAGTGTAAGGTATCTGAAAGAAAGGGAGTATGGTAGCCTAGCGGTTAAGACACTGGACTTGTTGACCAAAAAGTTGGCAGTTCGAGACCCAAGTATGATGCATGATGGGGTGAGCTCCCGTTCCTGTCTCAGCTCCTGCCAACCTAGCAGTTTGAAAGCATGCAAACATAAGTAGATAAATAGGTACTACTTTGGTGGGAAGATAATAGTGTTCCATGCTCCTTGGTATGGAGTCATGCCAGCCACATGAACATGGAAGCATCTTTGGACAAGATGGAGTCCTTCTGCTAGGAAACAGAAATGGGCACTGCCCCCTAGAGTCGAGCAGAACTGGTCAAGCAAAATCTTTGCCTTCACCTTTTTATATCTGAAAAAATGCTAGTTAAGAAGTTAGTAGGTTATAATAATTTGAAGTTTTACAAAATTATCATAGCCAGACTTTTTAGTATTGCCGGTGCACTTTTCTTGATGGTACAATTTTATGCAGAATTTCTATGTTTGGCTCACTTTTGGGTTTTTTGAAAGGAAATCTCCTTGATTATTGAGTCACAACCTCACTTGTAGCTGCAGAAAAGTTTCCGTTTCAAGTTCTATCTCTATTTTTTCCTCTTTTGCAAACTCCAGAAAAGGATTCAAAGACATTAAAGCCTTTTTTAGAAAAAAGAGGGATTTCGAAACTGTCTTTTCAAAGCGGTAGTTGGCCTTTTCACTTTTCTTTGTAAGGCAAATGGATACAAACTGGGCAAAACCCATTACTGAATAGCTCTCACATTCTCTTGCAAAGGTTGCTTCAGACAACTCTTTAACCTCTGGGAGGTAAAAGGATATTTTTAAAAGGCTATGTTCAAAGAAATCTTTTGTGATCATGAGTCCTGTGTAAGAAACATACATTTTATAAATTCTTAGAGAAAAAATGGCTCTTATTACTAACATCTTGAAGAATATGAGAATCTAAGCTGTAATTCTAGCTCCTTCACTTGGAAAGGTTATTTCAAGCTCAAGTATTCACATTTCTGGAAATTATATTTGGAATTCAAGTAGTGTTTATAATGTTTGCAAATGTTTTATGATACAGTATGGCCAAAATTGAAAGCCAGTTTGGTGTAGTGGTTGACATATGAGGCTGTGATTTCCAGTCCTGCCTTAGGCATAAAGCCAGTCACATTGGGCCAGACACTTTCTCTCAGCCCTGGGAAGAACACAATGGCACAGCACTTTTGGAAATCTGTACAAAGAAAACTTCAGGAACTTGTCCAGACAGTCTCTGAGAATTGGGCAAGATTCAGCAGAAAAAAATAGCCAAAATGCATGGTTAAAAATATCTAAACTAGGCCTAGAATGAGGCATATTTGTGCACATATTAAACAATTAATAAAGAAATTCCTTGAAATGGAAAATTAGCATGCTAGGGGAAAGATGGCTTTCAGGCCTAAGGCAGGACTGGAACCAGGGGTGGGCTTCAAAAATCCCAGCAACAAGTTCTCTGCATAGTTGCTGGGTATGTGCAGCCCACCTCTGCTAGAACTCAAAGTCTCTTGGTGATTGGCCAAAATCACCCAGCTGGCTTTCAGGCCTAAAACAGGACTAGAACTCACAGTTTCCTGGAGATTGGCCCCAAATCTCCCAGCAGGCTTTCATGCCTAAAGTGGGACTAGAAGTCATAACCCCTTGGCTTCTATCTTGCTGCCTTAACCATTAGACCGAAATGGCTGTAGGCCAAACCACCAATATGGTGGTTGTAGCAGTATGATCCATACCCTCTTCATTTTATACATGAGTTGATGTCAGACAAAAGGGTGGGGCTTTGATTGCACTGCTAGGACATTGCATTCTTTGACACGTACCCTTCAGATGTTAGTGACAGGAAATATGGGGCATAACGGTAAGCAAGCTAATATAGACAACAATATAGGCAGCGTCAGACCAAAGATTGACCAAAGCTCCTAACTTTTTTGCTATTGAAACAATGTTCAAATGAGATGTTGCAAATGAATATACATTAAACAAAATTTCCAGCGGACAAGGCAGATAGGAGAAAAGATTAAAGTTACCAAAAGACAGATTTCAACTGAATATTAGAAAAAGCTTTCTAACTATGGAAGTTTGGCAGTGCTGCGCTCAAAACATCGCTGAACCCTCTGTGAAACATTACACAGCCCTTGTGTTTACATTTAGGCTGATAGTTGGCTGAAAAAAATTACAAAAAGCTGAAAGGGAATAAAAGATTCACCCTTATGAGCCAGAAGGCTTTTAATGTTACTCATGAAGATCAGAGAAGGGAAGCTGTTTGTGAGACATCCGACCAAAATATCATTTTATTTCTATATTAATGATTGATTGCATTTTTATTTGCAAACATGCCCAGGCTCCTAGGCTTTAAAACATGCATTTACATACTTTAAAAGATGTTTAATGAAGCTCTGAATATTTTCACAGTTTGAAAATATTGGCAGAGTTTTGAATCAAAAGCAGCAGCATATTGTGGGTCCTAAGAGGCACAGAAAGAACATTTGCCTTGCTAGCAGCTCAGGGTTTGAATATTATTCTTTACAATGAAAAGGAAAGGAGAAATAGATTGGACTCTAGAGAAAGGGAAGGGAAGATATTTTCTGACTAAACCAACAAATTTATTCATCCCTTCAGGTAGTCCTCGACTTGCAACAGTTTGTTTAGTGACTGTTCAAAGTTACGGCACTGAAAAAAAGTGACTTATGACTGTTTTTCACACCTACGATCATTGCAGCCCTTGTGCTGTCTTGCACACACACACACACACACACACACACACACACACACACACAAATACACACACACACATACACGGGTGCTGCAGCTGCCAAAAAACACAAAACAGTTTTAGGCTGTGTTAGAAGAATTATCTTTCTGGGTTCAGTTCCAAGTGGGGAAAAAGACACTGGAAACATGGAAACTGTTTGGAAAGATGGTTTAATGGTGGACAGGACCACATAGCTTGGGTGAAGAAAGAAGGAAAAGGGCCGAGATGCTGAGAGACCCTTAGTTTTATAACCTCTGTTGGGTCCCACCTTAGTGTTTCCTGTTCCTGTGTAAGAAATGTATCCCATTATTGGCTGTCAGACTTGCAGGAGCAAGGGTCTTAGCTAACTTTGTAGACTTTGTCTATACCACCTGAGTGCTGGCTGATGCAATCTTCCCAGGCCCGGTGGTGAGATGGGCAGAGGCCTTTATTATGTAAAATACTCTGGCCTAGGACTTAATGGCCCACCCATTAACAAAGGTGTGGGGGCTGAGTTTCTGCCTCTCTGAATTTCTACTTTTCTTTTTTGGGGAAATATTCTGCCTTTTTAGTGTGGAAAGGGAACTTCACAAAGACAGTAGTGTCACAAAAACAGGAAAAGCCCAAGGGGAACATCAGGTCAGCCACAAAACAAACTTACATAGGAAAAGGAATCAAATAAAAAGTATTAAAGAATCCCTATAGACAAAAGCCTAAGTAATTAAGAAAACTAGACAAATAGGAAAAGGAAACAAAAGATAATTTAGAAAACCCTTACAAACACAGGACATACCAAATAAAAAAAACAAACAGACAAAAGACACAAAATATAAATTACAAAAGGGACTGACAGGAGATTGCCACAGAACAAATATGAAAAACTATCTTAAAGCTAAAAGAAATTACAGAAAACCAATAATACAATCTGGCCACCCCGCGGAGTTTGCCCTCCGGCGGAAATAAAGACAAATTCAAACAGGATTTGAAACATTAGGCACAAATACAAACACTCACACAAAATCAACTTACAAAGGGAGAAAAGGGTATAAAAAACCAGGGACTTACCATAAGAAGCTAGCTAGCCCAGGAACGCAGACTTCTCGCTGTTCTCTGCCTTTCTGAAAAATAAAAAGATCCAGCTTTCAAGCAGTTGTCCGTATCCTTGCGCCGGAGCTCTTCCAGCGGGAAAATCGAATCCTTGAAAGAAAGGCATTTTGACACCTTTCAACAATAGTATATCCTAAAATATTTCATTTTCCTAGGAGAGGGATGAGTTTTAACTTCCAACAATCCCCCCTTTTTGCCAAAAGAACACACATGTTATTGGCATGTGTGTTATGTAGAACACACATGTTATTGGCAAAACATTAAAAATTGATCAGATCAGGGAGACTTAATGGGTACTTTTAATTTTTCTGATGCAAAGGGGGAGGCATTGGGGGGGAAAAGCAACAGAAAAGGATTCCTTCAGTGGCTTCCAAAAACTTTCAGCCATGAAGGTCTAGCAGCCTGGGAAAAGTTCTGGAAAAAAATTTTTTTGACAGTATCCAATTTTTCATGCCAATTAATTTTCAGATGTTTGATGACCTAGTCTTTCTAACTGTCTTCAGGGAACTGAAAAGAGTCTTTTAGTCTTTTACTGGTCCATCTCAGGGTCTTTTCCTTCATGTCTCTGGGTGGCCTAGGCTTGGCCTGGTGGTATGAGTGGTCAGTCAGGCTTGGGAAGGTCTGCTCCACTCTGGTTGCTGTGATAACTTTCAGTGGAGGACTGGATCCAAATACAATTCTTTGGCTCCAATGGATGGAATGTCTCTGGGGGCAACATCTCGTTTTCATGTGTGGCAGGGCTGAAAGGCAAAGAACAAGGGTCCCCTCCCCCCTTCGCTGGTAATTCTACCAGGAAAGGCATTGTAAAAGGATTAGAGATGAGGGGGGAGTAGATAGTTTGCAGGCATAGTTTGAGGAGGATAAAGAAATAACACATCAGTATTGCAGTTACTAAACAGATAAATCAATTTCAACAAAATGGAGACACAACAGATGAGAAAGGGAAAAACTGGATTCACACGCTTCAGGAAAAAGATGATCAGGTAAAATCATTTAAACACACAGTAAATGCAAGGATGAAACTTTTCTTCTAAATGAACTTAAAACATTTGCTCATAAACTTGGGGGTTTTCTTAAAAGCACATAGAGGAAAGAAAATGGAACTCTGTGTTCTTCACTCTGACTGTCATGCCCTTGGTAGAGTTGGACTCTGAGGGAGAGGAGGAACAGCTGACAGGGAGTGGAGGTGTGGCTCTGGAGGTTGTGGAGGAGGCTGGGGAAGGACAGAGGCCGGCTGGGCAGTCAGAGGAAGAACCAGGGCCATCCCCTCTGCATCCTAGGACATGCAAGGTGGAATGGAGAAGGGAACAACTTGGCTTACAAGAGAGGAAGCGGCCATGATCTCACTCATTAGCTGCAGCTGGGGAGAATAGTATATAAGAGAGACAATTACAACACAGCGTTGCCAGAAGCAAAGCGTGTTTTATTTTGGGCTGAAGTTGTCTTGGTTGGCGTCCTTCCAACAGACTGTGCCTTGTTATCTCCTTGAATTTGATAATTACTTATTCTGGTCCGTTGTGGAATTTCCTTCATTGTAGTTTGTTTTGGGTTTTTTATTTCACCTCTATCTGCTCATTAAGTTCAGACTGTATTGCTTCCTTTTAAAGAGTATTTTTGAGTAAGTTTTATCTCCAACTGAGAATTATTGAACAGTGGGGCCAAGTTGGAGGCATTAAAGGACATTTATTTACATTTTGGATTTTGTTACGTTTGTGTTACACTCCGGGTCATCTCACTGACTCATGTTTATGATGGTTGCAATATCCTGAGGTCATGTGACCCCCTTTTGCGACTTTCTGACAAGCAAAGTCAACGGAGAAGCCAGATTCATTTAACAACTGGGTTACTAACTTAAAAACTGCAGGAGTTCACTTAACAACTGAAAAGTTTATAAAATGGGACAAAACTCGCTTAACAAATATTTCACCTAGTAATAGAAATTTTAGGCTCAGTTGTGGTTGTGAGTCAAGGACTACTGTACTTACAAATTAATCTAAAGAGAGGGTTTCCCCCCCACTCCAGCTCAGATTAAAATATGGAGTCCTTAATACTATTTGAATTTGGTTGTTTTCTTGCAGACATGTCATTACCCAACTATGTAACATCATCACTGCTTCGACCCCACAGTTCAACTCTGTGCTACAAATATTCTCATCTATTGATACCATATAAACTCTCTTTTATGACCCTTAATTATGGGTGTCAAATCCTTCAGAAGCATGCAAATGGGGTAAATTTGCATGTAGGCAAGGAACAATTATTTTTTTTATGTATGAATCCCTATGGAAACATGCCCTCCCCACCAGTGTCAGATACAAGCCAGTACTGATGATGTTACTTAGTTTGGCAATGAAATATCTTCAAGTAAACAACCAAGGCCAGAGAATACCAAGAGCCCCACAGTTCAACAAATATTATCTTTTATTAGTATCAGATTAAAATCCAGTATAGTGAGAACTAAGTCATTTTAGCCCTTCCTTTTATTTCAAGTCACTGCCATGCTCTGATGAAGATATAAACCAACCTCGTCAAGATCCTTTTTCAATCTTATATGTAATCCATATAAAAAGATGTAAACCAACATTGTCAAGATCCTTTTGTTGGAAGGAAAATCTATCTGGTTCAGTTCCATGCTGGGAGAAAGACACTGGAAACAACATGGAGGCTGATTAGAAAGAAAGTTTATTGATGAACCGAACCACAGCGTGCAGTTCTGGGTCAGCTGAACAACTAGCTGAATGAGAGGAAGGGTTCTTATGTGGTTCTGTGGTAGTTGTTGTTGTTGTTTTGAAGTTTGAGATTTGTGCAATATGGGCTTTGTGTTCTAAAGAAGGTGTTGGGCAATTCCCATTGTGGCTGATGGCTTATGTTCTATGCTGGATTTTGGGTGAGGGGCTGCTTGTTATAATCCTATTATTTGACTTTTGTTAGCTGTTAACTTGGTTGTAAGGGGTTTTGAAATATCCTGTCTTGAATGGACTTCTGCTGGCAGTATTTGCTTGCTTATGAATGGAGCCATCTAGATAGTTGGCTTCCTTTTTCAATAAGCTTGTTATTCTGCTTAATAGTGCTGGCATCTGCTGTGGGCTGTTAAGAAAGACTGGGGACTGCTTTCTGCCTCTAAGAGTACATTTCTCCATTTGTCCTTCGGGAAAATATATTCTGCCTGTTTTAATATTCCACAAAATATTTCATTCTTCTGTGGGGCAGGGTCTTCCCACACTTTCAATCTTATATGCAATCTATATTCAGCTTCATAGAAGATGAACTTAAACATGGATCTATCAGATGTTCAAGAAACTTGAAAGCAAAGAATTAGTTCGATGCCATAAGCATGGCCCTCAGTCTTGGTGACTGTCTGAATAGAAGCTCACAATTTTCATCTGTCTCTAGTAACAAGTAGTGGGTCTTCCAAAGATAGCCCTTTTGGAAGAAATGTCCGTCTGATTCAGTTCCAAGCTGGGAGAAAGGCCCTGGAGACAAAATGGAGGCTGATTGGAAAGAGGGTTTATTGATGCAACTGACCACATGGAATTAAGAGTATGATGGGGGTTATACCTTCTCTTGGGCTTTGCACTTGAGCTTCCTGTTCCTGTGCAAGACATGTATTCTATTGGCTGTTGTAGGGGTTATGTAGGGGTCATAGCTGGCTCTATTGGTTGTCTGAGCTAAGTTTGGTTGAAGTTTGGAGGGGTGATGCAATGTCCTTAGGAGATTGTGCAATGCAGTGAGCTCTGCTGCTAGATGGTAGTGGGTTAATCCTATTATATCGTCCAGGGTCATGTCTTAATCCCATCATCCTGGAGCTGAAGGTCTTTTGTTTTGTAGATAGACTGGCCCAATCTTTCTCAAAGGGCATAAAATATCGGCTGGGGGCAGGGAGCTAGGGCTCTGAGTCTCTGTCTCCCTTAAGATTTTTTATTTCTCTTTTAGGGGAAATATTTTATCTTGTCCTTTTAAATATTTCTCAAAAAAGTTCATTCTTCTAGGAGGGTGGGTGGCTTCCCACAGCCCTTTACCCTTTTTAATTGTCCACCTTCCCCTTCTTTTATCTCCTTGCCAATAGTCTCACCTTTTCTAAGCTTCTGCTTGATGATTAGTGTTGCAGAAAAGAAGGCAGCCTTTATTTACTCCAAGATAGATTATTGTTCTCTTTACAATCCATCTCAGGATCTATAATTCAAAGATGTCTCCCTTCCTTCTGTTGTAATTAAGGAATGTAAAAAAAAAAAAAGCTGCTGGAAAAAAAATGTCAATAACATGAAAAGTGATTGCCTTGGAGTAATTAATCAAGGCTCATGGCCAATTATGTAGCTTTTGCTTTGTGCAGGCTGCATTGTTCTAAGCTGGTGTGCATGTCTGACAGAATCTGGGAATCCATTCATTATTCCACTCATTATCACATATTGGTATAAAGTATGCTCTTGTAAGTTTGGCTGTCAGCCTTCCATGTGTCCATTAGTAGATTTGGGCCTACATCTGATAAAAAAAGAGAGAGATTATGAGGAAGAAAATGACAGCGAGTCATTCATCAAAAGAAAGAATGCTTGTTCCGCTACTTCTTTTTTCCTAAGAAAAGAAAATGAAGGGAGCTTCCATTGAATCAAAACTAGGGCAGGTTATTTAGCTTGGATGTTTCCTATTGTACAGCGCAAAATATATGGCATGCATCTGAGACTCAGTGAGAGAATAAAGCAGAGGTGTTATTCAGCAGGTTCTGAGCAGTTCTGGAGAACCGGTAGTGGAAATTTTGAGTAGTTTCGAGAACCGGCAAATACCACCTCTGAATGGCCCCGCCCCCATCTATTCTCTGCCTCCCAAGTCCCAGCTGCTTGGCTGGGTTTTCTTTGGTTGCCCTGCACAGGGGAACAGAGCTGGAAAGCAGGTTAGTGGGGTGGGAAGGGAATGGGATTTTGCAGTATCCTTCCCCTGCCATGCCCACCAAGCCACATCACGCCCAAGCCACACCCACAGAACCGGTAGTAAAAAAAATTGAATCCCACCACTGGAATAAAGGTGTGTTTATATATATATATACTGTATAGTAGCTGTGAACTCCAATGGATGGCTAAAAAAATTGAATAAATGAATAATTTTAATTTTGATGTAGTCTAAATTAACTTTATTTATCAATCTCATAAATGAAAGTTCCTAAATTAGCAGGCTATTGTCAGAAGAATAATTTGGGGCTCCAACTCAGCTGAGGTTGTGCAATAAGAAGAATAAATAAACGTAAGATCCGGACAGCTGTGAGGAAAGAAGAAATATTTATTCCTAAAAGCAAAGAGTTTGACTTTAGGGGCAGCAGCAGAGAAATGGGGTTCAGCAACAGGCTTTCATAGGGGAGCTTGTCCTAGGTGAGGAAGTATTTTATGTGCTGATTTGAGGATGACACTTGAGGGGTGTGTGTGTGTGGTATGTATGATGTTTATTTTTTGTGAACATGCAGTTCCGCTGGGAGACCTAATTTAATTAACTCTATTTGACTTGACAGACCTTATCCTTTGATATGTGGATTAGATCTTGGGTAACTTATTTGGGGGTTTGAGGAAATTTGAGTAAAAGATTCCCTCCCTCCCTTTGCTATTTTTCTTGATTAACTTAGTTTCATCTTGACTATCAATTATCTAGAGGAGATACTGATTCTAAGTCCATTGTGGATTCTGTTAACGTTTTTTTAAGGGAAGATGGAAACAGTATAAAGAATAAAATATATTTTGATATTCAACTTTTCACACTGTATACTACATTAAGTAGTAGATCTACTCTGAACGTACACTTACTTTGTAACGGTCAAGTAAATAGTTTTCTGAGATTCAGGAATTTGCAGGAGAGCAGAGTTGTATATGCAAACTAGTTTGTTGTAGCAGTTATGTTACCAAACTAGAAATGGGGAAACTATGAGTTCTAGTCCTGCCTTAGGCACAAAGCCAGTGGGGTAACTCCATTCATTCATTCATTCATTCATTCATTCATTCATTCATTCATTCATTCATTCAATATAACCATCCATCTCACATTTCTGACTCTGAATGTCTTAC